GAGCCCCTAATAAAATGATTAAAAATATATATATGATATAAACATTTAGGACAGGTAAAAAAAGTATTTACAAAGAATCATGAAAATTATATTGAAGTTAGCCTTTGAAAATCACTGCAATAAGGCCAAAGTAGGTGTTAATGATTATAAAAGGAGACCTGGCTTTTTAAATTAATTTTTAAAAATCATTGTTTTTCACCCTTTAATTTTTTTCCCCTTTTCTCTGATTTTATAGTTAACCAAGAGCGAGACAAAGTCAAAAGTACGTATATATCTCTTAAAGTGTTTCATTACGGACTGTGAATTATGCCTCGGGGTGATGAGAATCTCTGACTGAAACCATTTCTGTTTGGTTTATAGGTTACTACTCCATTAAGTATCCAGACTGGCCAATATCCTTACGTAACAGATACACCTCTCTTGTTCTCATTGTGAAGGCATTCGTTCTAATACTGAGTGTTATAATTACCATCTTGATCCAGCACAAATACCCTAATTTAGTTCTTTTGGATTAACACAATCCAGGGGGGAAAAAATTAAATAAATGGCTTTAAAAAAACAATGGGTTTATTTCTAACTTAAAAACATTTCAGGAAAGACGGGTTATTAACAAAAAGTGAATGATAGCACCCTGTAGGAAACAATTCTCTTCATGAAAATTAAACAAGACTTGTCCCAAGAAGGGGGAGGTTAACTATATCCCAGTTGTCCCACCTTTCCACATAGCTGTACCACTCCATCACTGCTGACATCAAACACCACCTTCTCTTCTAAGTATACGCCCTTACGCCCCAGGGTTCTGCAGCTCATTGCAATGACCACCCAGAACTCACAACATAAAGGGAAATGGCTCACGTGTTGTGGGTGCTGGTAAGTCCCAAATTAAATTCAGACATCCATCTGGAGGCTCCTCCTTATTCGAGGCTGTGGAAGCTGGTGAAACTAGGTGCAAGAACCAGATGCGGGACCCAAAGGATGTGACCACTCAGGTTCTTGCTGGTAGTGAGACCACCTCCCTCTGCTGCTTTTCAGAGGGCTTATTTTATATGCAGCCGGCTGACAATCACAATGTAGCCTGTTAGCAATCACTCACAGGTGAATCTTATCAATGTCTTCCCCTACCTATTTCACTAGACCCATACCGGAAAAGGTGGTTTGGTGGGGGTTACAGAGGCTTCGGCTGAAGAGCAACAGTAAACATTGCCCCTACGCCCCCCTGTGGAGCACTGCAACAATGTGAGGGTCAGAGAGCTGCAAAAGCAGATGCCTACAGTTTTTCCTGAATTAAAACCAAGAGTTTTTAATTGCCATGGTTAGGAC